CTTAAACCTCCCCCACCACACCAGCTTTACTAAAACAATCCTGCAGTCATTTGGTCAATGGCACTTTAAGGACCCCAAACACCCCCCCACCACCACCACCACACACACGCACGCACGCACACACTTACCTTCAGCCTCCATGATCCTCCTTACTGCTGTGTTTAAAAATATTCAGCTAATTTACAATCAAGGTAGGGGAGTTTGTTTACCACTCTGATTGGCTCTGCACTTTGTGCTTGTGATCTGAGCTGTCCAGTTTTCCCATCACTATTTCACCCATTCAACAAACTGTGACCATACTTGGTTTGGGTTCAATTCAAATTTGAATATAACTAGTGCTCATCCCTTGTCCTTATCCAAAAAATTGTTGAATGACTCCCAATTCATGGCATGAGAAAATGGAGATCCATGAGGTAGCAGCGGTAACCAATGCTGACAGTGTAAAGAAATGTAATGACGTACTGTAGTTTAGACCCTCCCTATGCATTTCACCATTAGACTTCATGGTGGATAACCATCATCATTACATCTTTCATGAGTCCTTCATAGAAAATGCTGAAAGTGGAGAAGTTACTTGAATACAATTGTTTGCTATCATCAGAGGCGTGTAAAGACCTTACGGTATATACAGTACATAATGAAGGTCTACAATACTTTATTTAGTTAACATTCCTATATATTAAAATGACAAACATAAAATAAACTGCAACTATAGAAAAAAAATATATCCTATTGTAGGTAACTCTCTTTTTTCCTCCAGGGTTTTTTTCCCCACCTTCTTGACCTGGGTGATAGCCTAACGCTTGAACTCATCCACGTATGACCCTTGGTATTGATGACAATACAAATCCCGCTCGTTCCCCCCCCCCCTTCTTTTTTTTTCTCTCTCTCTCTCTTTTCTCCCCTTCTTTTGCTCTTTTTCCTCCTTCTTTCCCTCTTGGCACATGTGTTGATAAATTTTGGATACCTTTCCAGAGAACATTGGCATGCTAATAACTTACTTTCTCTACTCTCATCAGCAGCTATCACGACAGTTTCAGTTCTACTGACGTGAGATTTTGGCTTCGTCCTCGGCATTGGTACCGCATCTACCCTCCCTCCCTTTACAGCTCTGCAGTGAGTTTTACACACGTAGGAGGTTCAAAGTGGCAATATTTCCAATCATACTAAAATAATGCTTGAGTATTACAAGCATTATTTTGTCGTAGACTAGTAAAACAACATTGCATATATTTTCTGCATGCTACTTCTTGCTTTTTCAGGATATGCATTGCCAAATGTCTAATCTAAGTATCATTTGCACATCTTCTGTATCATTCTTTACTTCATCAATAAACGCTTTTTTTTGGGGAATAAAAAAAAAGGAATAAAATATAAATTTCAACAATCAGACAGGTGCTTATGTATAAATATTATAAAAAGCATATAATCAGTTTGTGATAAAAAATTACCGATTAAACAAGGAGTCTCCAAACTTTCTGAACAAAGGGCCACTTTACTGTCCTTCAGACTTTTGGGGGAGAATGTGACCAGTGGGAGTAGATAATGCATTAGGCTTGGTAGCCAGTGTGAAAAAAATGACATAGCACTCCTGTGGTTAGTAGGATGAGGAATAGTGTCCCTTCATTAATATCAGTGGAAGGAATAATGTCCCCATCATTGGTGTAAGTGGCAAGAATAGTGCTCCATTTTTGGTGTCAGTGGGAAGAATATTTTTCCATTGTTGGTGCCAGTTGAAGGAATAGTACCCCATTGTTGAAGTCAGTGAGGGGGAATAGTACCCCAATCACTGGTGTCAGTGGGAGAAATAATACCCCATTATTGGTGTCAGTGGGAGGAGTGCCATAGGAAAGAATTATAGCCCCACTGTAGGTGTCAATGGGAGAATTAATGCCTCATATCAGTGGAAGTAATAAATGTCCCAAAGGCCAAATAAAGGCAAGCAAAGAGTTGTTCCTGGCCTGTGGGCCACAGTTTGGACTGGATTAAACAGTTGATATCCAGATATATATTTAAACAATTTGGAGAAAAAGTATCAAGCAAAAAAAATGATTCACTTATTTTTATATGTTACATGTATGTTCAGAAATAAGAATGAAAATAATTTAACATGTGTAGTGGTGCATGAAAAAAATAATTAATTACAAAATTAAGACCACTGTAATGTTAAAGCAAGAATGACATGCAAAAAAAAGAAAAAAAACATAAATAAAAATAAAAGTGTATGGGCCCCCTCAAAATTCATACCAGAATATTATCCTGTATCCTGGGCTTGTCTGCTCAGGAAAAGGGGGGTGGTGAGAGTGAACATATTTTGAACCATACCAGGCCACATGCCCTCAACATGTGGATGGTACCATTGCCAAGAAAAGAATTGTACCTTGTCCCTATGTTGATGAGGACAAGAGCCTCTTCCCTACAACCTTGGCTTAGTGGCTTCATGGGTCTGTGAGTGGGGAGCTTATCAGAATCGGAAATGCCCCTTTAAAAATCTGCCCCTTTAAAAATCAGAAGACCTCCAAACTCATCTGGAGTGTAAACAAAGGGGTAAGAATAGTGAATGACATTGTTGACTAAAATGTCCATGGCCAAATTTGGGCCATGATGTTAGCTACTATCACTGTCCCTTTGTTTAGATGGCTAGAGATTCCCAGCCAAAAAATGAATGGGGAAAGGTGAAGCCACTGTTTAACTACTTCCCGACTGCCCTATAGCAGAAGTACTGCTACAGGGTGGCAGTAGCTGCCCTGCCAGCACCGCCATTGATGGCTACAGCTGTCACTCACTAATTCCTGGCCGGAGATTCCCTGCTGCCACTCAGCAATCGCCAAGGAACACTGACAGAGGAGAGGTCTGTATGTAAACAATACATATCTCTCCCCTGTCAGCATCAGCATGCTGCTTTGTATTGACCTGCATAGCAGAGCATTACAAAGCAGTGTGCTTACACAGTGTGCTTACACAGTAAAGCACACACAGACAAAATAGTAAAACACACACAGCACACAGTTAACCCTTTGATCACCCCAGATGTTAAGCCCTTCCTGTCCAGTGTCATTAGTACAGTGTCAGTGCTTTTTATTAGCACTAATCACTGTATTGGTGTCAGTGGGGATGTCAGTGGCAGTTAGACAGTTCCCCCCAGTGTCAGAATGCCTGCTGCAGTCCCGCTATAAGTTGCTGATCACTGCCATTACTTGTATAAAATAAATAAATAAAAATTCCAGTACATAAATACCGCCATTTGTAGACGCTATAACTTTCATTTAAACCAATTAATTTACACATATTGGGATTTTTTTTTAGCAAAGACATGGAGCAGAATACATTTTGGCCTAAATTTATGATGAAATTTGATTTTTTTACATTTTTTACTGGACATGTTTAATAGCACAAAATCAAAAATGTTTTTTTCTCAAAAGTGTTGGTCTTTTTTTGTTTAGAGCGCAAAAAATTAAAAATGCACAGGCGATCAAATACCACCAAAAGAAAGCTCCATTTGTGGGAAAAGAAGGACATACATTTAATTTCAGGTGCAGCGTTGCAAGACCGCTCAATTGTCATTTTAAGTAACGCAGCGCCGTATTGCCTGGTCAGGAAGGGGGGTTAAATCCTCTGGAGGGCAAGTGGTTAAGGACATGGCAGGTACTGGCACCATTGCTTCTTTAACAAACATTAATTGAGCAGTTATATACAAATTAGTAGTAGAAAAAATTGCTGCAATATATTGTTCAGCTCCCTCCAAACAGATCAAAATTTCAGCATGTTAAAGAATGCCCAAACAAGCAAAGTTGCTGGTGGACTCATGCATCCTGGATCCCCATTGGGTTTGATTTTTGGACATTTTCACGTTCTTATCTGTACATGTCAAAAAGATCTGTCACATGGCTGTATCATATCCACACCTTGCTCTTTCTGATAGCTTCTTTTGGTTTAGATGTGATGAGTGCCCATATACTAAGGCACAGAGATAAAAATCCACCATAACTCTTAAAAAGCTAACTTCAATTGATTCACCACTAGCAACTGCCTTATTATCTTCACATAGCTCAGGCTTTCAAATACTACTGCTCTAAAATGGCTAGTATGGCTAGTCCCCAGCCCCATACTAAATCACTACCCCAATTGTGGATTTTTCCAGCGGATGTTGGGTGTGGTGTCAGGGGCATGGGAACAGGAAAGTCAAGTATTCAAATTCTTCTACAAGTACAGTATGTCTTGCCTATGAATTTTCAGTAAAGCAACAGGGTTGCTTCAAATTTTACAATGCAGGCAATTTGTTGAAATTGGCTTGCAAAGAAAAAAATATATGGCTTTGCTTTTTTCTTTTGTACCTATGGTTAATGATTATAAATAACCATTGATGATGTGTCAGTATGACTCTTAAAAAAGCACTCCTGCTGCTTCAGTTGTGCCAAAATGATTCTTAACCACTTGCCTACTGGGCACTTTTACCCCCTTCCTCCCCAGGCCAATTTTCAGCTTTCAGCGCTGTTGCACTTCGAATGACAATTTCGCGGTCATGCGACACTGTACCCATATGGAATTTTTAGCATTATTTTTGAGACATATAGAGCTTTCTTTTGGTGGCATTTAATTACCACTGGGTTTTTTATTTTTTGCTAAACAAACCAAAAACAACTAAAAATTTTGGAAAAAAAAAGTTTTTTTCTTAGTTTCTGTTATAAAATTTTGTAAATCAGTAATTTTTCTTCTTCGCTGATGTGTGCTAATGAGGCTGCAGTGATGAGCAATGATAGGCTGCACTGATGGGTACTGATAGGCGGCACTGATGGGCACTGATGAGGAGGCACTTGTAGGTGGCACTGATGGGCATTGACAGGCATCGCTGATGGGCATTGACAGACATCACTGATGGGCACTGAAAGGCAGTACTCATATATGGCACTGATAGGTGGCAATGACTGACACTGATAGGTGGGAATGACTGGCACTGATAGGTGGCACTGACTGAAACTGTTAGGCGGCACTGATGGGCACTGATAGGTGGCACTGATAGGTGGCACGGATTGGCAGCACTCATAGGTGCCACTGACTGGTACTGATAGGTAGCACTGACTGGCACTGATAGGTGGCACTGAAAGGCAGCTCATATGGGCACTGATATGTGGCATTGATGTGCACTGGTAGGCACTGATATGTGGCATTGGTGTGGCATTGATGGGCACTGACAGGTAGCATTGATGGACACTGACAGGTAGCACTGATGGGGCTTCACTGATCATCAGGGCACTGATAATCAGTGCCCTGATGATCAGTGTACATGTCCCCTCTGAGTAATGCCGATTACTGACTCTCCTCTCCTCAAGAGCTGTCAACGTGACAGCTCATGAGGAGAGAAATGCCAATAACCAGCATTTCCTTATTTACATGCGATCAGTTGTGATTGGACACAGCTGATCACATGACAGAGCCAAAGTCATTGGCTCTTTCCACTAATCGGTGATCTGCTGTGTCCCAGGTACACCGATTGTCGGTCTGCGCATCCCCGGGGGCGCACATACGTGGTTAGAGTGGGAGGACGTCATATGAATCCTCCCAGAACGAGAGAACCACCGCCCATCCATCATTTCCTTACATGGCTGCAGTGTCCATTATAATAACCACTACAGGTATGTAAATATAGTGTAGGCACAATGATAAGGCTTGTATGGTGATTGAGAAGTGCTGCATTTTCTCCATCTCAGGAGTGAGTTTTCTCTGTCTACTTCACTATTGAAAGCAGACTGCAGTTATTGGCATCTCTTAAAGCAAGGATGGTTGCATTATCATCCAATATTATGTTGGTGCTAGATATTTATAGAGGATTTTTAAGATTAAGTGAACTTCATTTATCAAACGTTGGCACAAATAGTTGTGTTATTAGAATATGTATGAGACATTTGTGAGTATGAAATCAAGCTTCCTTTGGTAATATAGGAATAAGGGAGCTGAATTTCAGTTTTATTATTGACTTGGTTGATAGGAAAAAAATGTTTTTCCTTCATAGGGTTTCTGTAGTGTCTGTTATATCCTAGTCACAATGTAAGGTCAGGCAATTGTACATTTTACCTATATCCCCCTTCTTTGAAGAGACAGGGGCCTTAGGGCCTACTCAGAGATTTTCTGACTCAAATCAATGCCTACAACTCTCCTGCTGTGAATAAAGCTGGATGAGCAGCAGATCTGGCAGGAATTCATGGACATTCAAAGTAATATACCTTAAGGACTGGGCTTAACTCAGTATTGGAGGAATTTCACTGAAAACATGTTCATGTCATTTGCAAACCTGTCATTTCACGCTCTGGTAGACATTGATGTTTGCTTCTCAAATATGTATTTAAATCTACAGCTAAATAACTCCTTGAAAGCAATGTTTACACATTAATTATGCATACACCATGGGATTTATTCATAATGATTGTGAGCTGGAGAACTCATATTATGAGTTGATGCATGAATGACCCATCTCTCTGTCTCTCTCCTTCGAAATGCATATTCAAAACACTTTTTTTCTGCCTAACTTGGTGCAATGAAATAATAATAAAAACAAGATTTATGTATTTTATTAATCATATTTTATTTCATTTTCGTGTAAATTCATTAGCCATTGTCTAGTCTCATGTTTGTAGTTTACCAACTGATTGAATTTTATACACACACCTCTTTTTTCTCTCTCACTCTCTCTCTCTGCAAACTTGGCCTATACGACTCATCTTTAGACTGAACGGTTTAGAATTTAATTAAAATATGCAAAGCCTAAATGTGTCAATGGCTCATTCATCACTGGTTACTGAAAATCTGTATATTTCTTTTCAAGCTTGCAAACTGTTAACTGTTATTTTGTCTGAGGGACAATTCCTTTTTTTTTATCAAACCTTTGAATAGCAAAGGAATAATCAAATCTATTTCAAATTCTAAAAATCTAATCTTATATACAAAGACAAAAAAAATCACAAAAATAATTTACCTTTAAGAAAATACCGTAAATCATAATTTTATACATCAATGGAAGGGTGAAATATATTAGGCTGATGGTCAATTAAAAGTATGTGTCAGCTAGAAAAAAGTTAGTTAGGGAAATCTGAGATTCAAGCAACTAAAAAAGAACTTTCACATACACTGATATGCAGATAAACCTTGAATAATTAAGTCAAATCCCTTCTATGGCTACCACTTGACATGAGGTTAGGGTTCGCCACTACCATGGTTTTGAGGTAAATCCTGTAGGTTTGAGATTTGTGGTACTGGTGAATTTTTACATTCACCTAGGAGAATTTTTCTTTTCACTATCATACACTTCATGGCCTTTAAACTGAAGCTGTTGTAGGGAAAGCATCAGGAAAGTTGAAAAAAATGAAGAGGGAGAAAAAATGGCAGTTAGGAAACTGTTTTTTAATTCTACTTGTTCTAATTGCTAGTTATTTGGACAATCAATCCTTTTTTTTGCTGAAAGCCCCTTCTCCCCCCCAGAAGAAGTCTGAATCACATGTTATTTTTGGGATTTCATTTATTTTGTGAGTATATTGGCTTTTATGTTATTGTCAGGGTCCTGTCCACGGCAGGGGTTCTGGAAGATCTGACATTCCTGCCAGTACTCTACATGGCCGCAGAAGTACACATCAGCCTCAGTGTGGTGCCAGACGGCCTTTATAAGGAGGCTCATCACTTCCTCTAGTTGCTGGATGATCTCTAGCTCCCCGTGCCCTGTTCCTGTTTCCTGTGATTCTGACTTGTGATTTCCTGTTACCGACTCGGCTTGCTCCTGGACCTGTCTACTCTGATTTACCCCTGATCTGACCTCGGCTTGGCTTACAGATACTCTCTCTCTCTCTCGCTCCTCTGTGAATGACCTCGGCTATCCTATCTGACTACGTCTGCTCTGATTCCCACCTGGTACCTGACCTTGGCTTGAACCAACTACCCAGTAAACATCCAAATCCCGGGAGGGCTTGTATACCACGCACAGGCACCTCCTGTCTGCAGACCTATCTCCGTGCACCAGCTGTGCTTCTAAGTGGACCACCAACCAGCACTCCTACAGGCGACCTGTGCAACTTTGGGCCAGACTCCCGCTGTCCCACTCTCAGGTGAGTCCAGAACTTAGCCGCAAGGGAAGCCCTCTCTCCATTGGCCTCCATCACCAGGTATGTGATAGTATTATCCAGCCCGTATGTCCGAGGCCGAAAGAGGCGCTTCCGCACTAGAGAACCTGTGCCAACAGATGACGGCACTTAACCAAGCAGTGAAGGATCTACAGCAAGGACACTTACAGCTAGAAGGGCATCTTCACTCCCTCTCTACTTCTGTGGACCAGGATCCCTCCACCAGTTCCAATCCAGTAGCCGCACCTGCCAGTCAGTCTACTGCCACCACTCCTGCTATAGTGTTACCACCTCCAGAACCCAGAGTTCCTACTCCTGAACGTTTTCTTGGGGATCAACATAAGTTCAGAGCTTTCAAAAATGCCTGTGAACAATATTTGGCTCTGCAACCCAGGACCTTTTCTCTGGAAGCGGTCAAGGTCGGGTTCATCATCTCTCTCTTGTCTGAAGATCCTCAGTCTTGGGCACATGGTCTTCTGGAACAAAAGAGCCCCACACTTAATTCAGTGAGTGAATTCTTTGAAGCCATGGCTGCCCTCTACGATGATCCCCAGAGGACCACCACTGCTGAGTCCGCCCTCCATGCTCTACTACAGGGTTGGCAGTCTGTGGAGGACTACATAGTGGAGTTCTGTAAATGGTCTGCAGACACCGGTTGGAACGATGCAGCATTGAAGTACCAGTTCCGCCTAGGCCTGTCCGAGTCCCTCACGGACGAGTTAGCTAGGGTGGAAGCTCCCTCCTCCTTGGAGAACCTTATCCTGCTCGCTACTCAGTTGGATCAGCGTCTACGAGAAAGACTCACAGAGCACACTCAGACCTTTAGGCCCACTTGGGTTCTGCCAGAAGTTCCAGGACCAACGGCTCCTGCCCTTGCTCTGCAACCCATCAACACTTCAGAGGTAGAACCTATGCAAATAGGCCTTCTTTCTTCGACCTGCCCTAACTCCGGAAGAAAGGCTACGCAGACAGCAAGGCAACCTCTGTCTTTACTGTGGGGCCACAGGCCACTTCCTGCGTAACTGCCCAGTATGACCAAATAAGTCCAGCCAGGCCCATCCTTCGTACCTTCAGCTATCCAGGACTTTGACCACCCATATCATTCTCCGCCATGCAAGTGGCTGGAAGGGAAGCCAAGTTGGGGCAGTCATTGACTCAGGAGCTTGTAGCTGTTTCTTTGACATCCAATTGACCTCTTCTGCCTAAGAAACAGAAACCTGACGTCTTACTTGCGGATGGCACTACTCTACTTACTCACTCACTGAGAAGAAGGCCGACACATTGCCTTCTCATCAGTCTTACGATTGCCCAATTGAGTTACTCCCAGGGGCAGAAATACCATTTGGGCAAATTTTCCCATTAGCTGAACTTGAACTGGAAGCCCTCCGGCACTATCTAGACAAGAATCTTGCTAAAGGATTCATCCGCCCATCATTTCCTCTCCTGCCGGGGCTGGTATTTTCTTTGTAGAAAAAAAGGATTGGTCTCTTAGACCTTGCATTGACTACAGGGAACTTAATAAAATTACCATTAAAAACTGGTATCCTCTTCCTCTGGTGCCTGAGTTGTTTCAGAGATTCCGAACAGCCCGGGGGGTTCAGTAAATTGGACTTACGGGGGGCCTACAATTTAGTCAGTATAAGAGAGGGTGATGAGTGGAAGACCGCCTTCAGAACACGCTTCGGACATTTTGAGTACCTGGTGATGCCGTTTGGGCTATGTAATGCCCCGGCTATGTTTCAACATTTTGTGAAGGACATCTTTAGAGAGTACCTTGACCTTTTTGTGATCGTCTACCTGGACGATATTCTGATTTTCTCTACCTCACTGGAACTCCATCGTGATCATGTTAGGAAAGTGCTAAACACTCTAAGGATGCATTGCTTGTATGCCAAGGCGGAGAAGTGTGAGTTTGAGAAGCAGTCAATCCAGTTCCTGGGGCTCATAATTTCCACCGAGGGAATCTCCATGGACCCTCAGAAAGTATCTGCTATCCTGGATAGGCCTGTACCTTCAGACAGGAAAGGGGCCCAAAGATTTGTGGGTTTCGACAACTTTGATAGGAAATTTATTAAGGGCTTTTCCACAATCATTGACCCTGTTAGTCAACTCACTCGCCAGCATACACGATTTTGCTGGAGCCAGGAGGCTCAAAAAGCATTTGAGCAATTAAAAGATCAATTCACCTCCACTCCTGTGTTACAGCATCCAGAGCTAACACTCCCCTTCATCCTGGAGGTGGATGCATCTGAAGTTGCTACAGGAGCTGTACTCTCCCAGCGCCAGGGCCCAAAGGCTCTGCTTCACCCAATAGCCTTTTGTTCTTG